TCTCTCTCTCTCTCTCTCTCTCTCTCTCTCTCTCTCTCTCTCTCTCTCAGACTCGCTTTCTCTCTCTACTCCCACTTTTTCTGTCCGTCTATGTCTCTCTTTATCTCTGTCTGTCTGTCTGTCTGTCTGCCTGTCTGCCTGTCTGTCTGTCTGTCTGTCTGTTTCTGTCTCTCTCTCTGTCTGTCTGTATCTATGTTTATCTGTCACTGTGTCTCTTACTCCCTCTCTCTATCTCTATCCATATCTCTCTCTATCTTCCTGTCTCATCTCTCTCTCCACTCTCTGCGTACTCATGTACCAGCTCTGCCTATCGCGCTCATTCGTTCGCCCTTAAGTGAAACTGCCGGGTGAATTGAAACCTGATTGCTTACATGTATGGTTTCCTTACATATAGTTCGACTCTAGAGCCACCGGCAGTGACGACACGTAGGCGAATTTTTCGTCTTGTACGAATTACCAAGAAAGCCTCGAAATCGTTAACTGTTCATCTTCGTTTTTTCAGTTCTCCATAATCAGTCATCTTCTCGATAATAAATCTATGAAATAGAGACACACATGTTTATAAGCGTATTCGTTACAGTGAGAACCGTACGCATGTCAAATATAAGGGTATAATGTGTATAATATTATGCCTAATCGAAACGCAATTGTAATACAGAGAAATTAGTATGACAAGTAATTATGAAAAAAGGGCCACACCAAGGATAAGGCTAGTTCTATATATATGTGTAATAGTGGAAATTAGACAATAGAAAGGGGATGGAAATAGCTTGAGGCGGGTCTTTTGTTTAAACGTTGGGCACTGACCGGAACCAGTCCCATCACGCGACAGTCAGTTAGCGAGCGGGGTAAGGGCGATTGGCTGTGACAAGACAATAGACCGCACATACGTATAAAAACCCGCGCGCACGAAATGTGCGAGGTTCTGAGGTTCTCTAGTTCTCTGGCTCTCTGCTTCATCACTTATCGCAGAATCCGTGAGTTGTCTCTGCGACCGCATATCTACTGTTGAAATCGTAAGTTACGTTTCATGTCACCGCGCAAACATATGTACGCGACACTACCCCTTCGTGGGATTATACATTAGTTAAGATATGTTCATTAAATACTTACTTGCTTTAATACGTACATATCAGTTTTTTGTTGTTTCTGTGTTGTACATGACAGACGTTTTAGCAAGGGTGTATCTCACCGACGCGTACCACTATTACGATTCACGATAGAATAACCGCCTGTTACAGAGTTTTGTGTGTTGATTGATACACACCAGCATAATCGTGCATGCCGTGTTTCATACGTAGTCACTCACTAAATAGTTGCTCACAGAAACGCTGACAACTCTCATTTACACACGTCGCCTTGAAACAGGAGGCGAGAGAGCGAGTGAGCGAGAGCTAGAGAAGGCGAGGGAGAGAAGAGAGAGAAAAATAGAAGGGCATAGAGAGAGAGGAGCGGGTGAGAGAAAGGTTAAAGGAGAGTGAGAGAGAGGGAAAAGATATCAAGGAGGGGCAGAGAGATGGAAGGAGCGAAGAGGAGAGGGAGAGAGCGAAGAGGAGGAGAAAAGGGGGGAGAGAGAAGGTGAGTATGAGAGAGAAGTGGAGACGGTAAGAATGGTAGGAAGTAGGGGAGTAGGAGCGGGAGAAACTAAGAGAGAGAGAGAGAGAGAGAGAGAGAGAGAGAGAGAGAGAGAGAGAGAGAGAGAGAGAGAGAGAGAGAGAGAGAGAGAGAGAGAGAGAGAGGTGGCGAGATAGTGATATTATGTTACTGGATTAAGGTGATACTAATAACTTCAACTAATATCTATTAAATACGGATATTGGAGTGTATATATAATTAACCTAGTATAATTAAGCCTGGGCTCTCTCTCTAAGAGAGAGAGAGAGAGAGAGAGAGAGAGAGAGAGAGAGAGAGAGAGAGTTAATGGGTGCCGTTAGCAATGTAAACGCGTATAATTATCGTCGACGGCTGCAATAATTAGGCATTATAGTTCAGCCTTTCTAGAGACACGCAAAGTATTGTGATACAGCTGGACCGCATTTTTGTGCGATATTCGCGCATTGGCTAGTTATGAGTTAATTGACGCGTGGCTACTCTGGTAGGCATTAGAGAATTAAAAGGAAAGTTTGCAGCCGGTCTATAATTATACGCGTAATTAAAATAAATTGTGCTCTCTATTCATGGTCTAGATATAGCTTTGTTATCAGGAATCTATCAATAGGAGTAATTCAGAATCGTTATTGAATAGAATCAGAATATAGTTTCTATAGAATAGAATCAGGAATCTGGCCTGATTCAGGAATCTATCTATACCTATTCTGTTTCAGTTTCTATAAATATATTTCTATAGAATATTCTATAGAATATAGAATTTCAGAATTCTATTGATAGACTCCTGTTGTTATGACAGCCGGGCTTAACTGCGGCTGGCCATCTGTGTTGGCGCTCATTCGCAAAATAATCTAAACATTCAAATTACATTTCTGCGAATGTTCGGGGTTTTATTGACATATTTTGTTCACCGCTGCCTTCATAGTACGCGTGAAATCTAGACACGAATGAAAAAATGCAAGTATGCAAGCACTTTCGGATGGCGGCACTAGGTCTCTTCGTCTATAGCAATGTTACCTACACACTGATATTTCATATCAACATAATAACTTTGCCATGTATGACGTAAATAATAAATAGCGAGATTGATAATGCATGAATTGCATGCAATTTTGCAAACAGGGTATTCACGTGCATACGAGGTAGCTAAGATAACGAGGCGCGAAGATAACGTGTGACTCAAACTATTGTTCGTCAAAGGACGGAATGAAATGAAGGTTTTTGCAGCGGTATTAAATCTGTTGGGGAACGCGCTATTTATGTTAGAACGTTGGCGGACACAATTACTGACGCTGCAGCGTGAAACTTCGCTGCGTAAATCAATATGACGGGAATGTCATAACTCGCAGAATGCGCTGCAACAGATGTGTCTATAGGTTTCGCGAGTACACAGCCACGTACCTTCCTGTCCCGCAAGCATACGCGCCAGCGAGGTCTCGACAAACGCAAACACACGAAGTAATTGCAACTCTTAATGTTGAACGTGTTATTGAAGAGTTGAATGTCAATCTAAATGCTCGAGATTTTTGTTTACTTATAATTGTATTGATATGGCCGTAAATATCTCACCGGACCTTTTATCGCTTGAATTGATGAAGCTGATGGCGACCTCATTATTATGGTTTATTACGGGGGAACTATAGTGTGTGCCAAAAATCATCGGTAAATCGCTATATATTATTAGGCTCGCAGTAATACACCTACGATACTCATAGACCTAGTACTGCCATGACATCGGTGAAAATAATAATGTTTCTTTCGTTTTAAAGTTCTCATGTAGTCAGTCACTCACACATCTGTAAGCAAGTACTTTACTTTTAATGTCTACTGCTGCAAGACCGCTTTTCGTTTAGATAACAATACTTAACTACACACGTTCGAACACTGTCTAAATATGCTTAGATCTGGTACATGCGTCTCCAATTAGATTTTAGTGCTAAAGCAACTCACCGCGGATCATGTTTTATTATTTATTTTATATCCTAATAACTATGGCACGTAGTTTGCTTTTTGAACGCACAAAAACACGAATTGCGCCTCTCCGTACTAAGTGCAGCTTAACGAAGCTTGTAAAATTTACCACCACGGTCACGGCAATGTCAGACTGCTGTTTCTGTCGTGGAAGGTGGTTAGGCGAATACGCTCAGAATAGTGAATATACATCTATTATAATAGGTACATTATAATCACTACACATACATAATTATAATTACATTATAATTACATTATAATTACATTATAATTACATCACATACATTACAATTATATATATCTGTGTTATACGCTTAATATCGGAAAGTTTTGGCTTTCAGATCTGGAGCTCGTTGTTAGAAATAAAATTGGAAATAAAATTAGTCTTGACAATAAATTTTTCTCGTAGGCCATTGACAAAAGCGTCGTAAAGGTATCAAAATAAAACACCCGGGCCTAGCCTTCTAAAGGCAAATTATAAAGTTTCTATTATCGCAGGTTTTCTAATAGCTTCCTGTCAACGCAATGCTCATTGCATTAACACTAGCCTTAACTTTGCGATGTTTCGCACAACCGGGCCTTGTAATACTAGTAAATGTGTGTAATGTAGAAAAGTGTTTGTAATGTAAAGTATAGCCGTCCACCGTAGAGCTGTATCGCACCGCACTCTATCGTACATGCTGGCATGTAATAGCTGATCCATGATGTATTAACGATGCTGTAACCGTCACCATTCCCAGCGCGCAGTTACAGCTCCTCAAGATAAGACACACACTAACACGCACGCACGCACACCTACACGCACACTGGTTCGCACACACGCACGCAAACCTACACGCACGCACGCACGCACACACACACACACACACACACACACACACACAAACACACACACGCATACTCACATAAACAAATACACACACATGCGCGTCCCACGCACACATTCACGCACACATACACAAACATATATGCACACACGCACGTATATAAGCCATTTCGCACATTATAATAATCATCCATTTCCATTGCCTCCTGTGACTCAGGCTTCCGACCACCCCCTCCACAATTAGCATTTCCT